ATAGATAGATAGATAGATAGATAGATAGATAGATAGATAGATAGATACTGATTCTGTTTTACATGTAGAAATGACATCATTGCTCTTTTTTCCACACTGTTGCCCTGCAGGGGTGAACAAAGAGTCAGAGGGATTTAATGATGGACAGCTCTATGAACTATGACAGACAGGCTCTATTTCTCTGTCTGAAAATCCCACTCACGCCTGCCAAGGGTGTTATTAAAATATGAAGGCCCTTTTCTTGGCTGGCATGAACACTGAGTCAATTTTTGCCACAAGATATTTGCACTTATTTGTTTACATTTATGTATGATGATGCATCACGGAAATGGCATCTTATATTTCGTGCAAGTGTTTCCTGTAGTGTAGAAGAAATCTCCTCATTTGTTTGCAAAGCCAATGAGAAAGATGCCCATATCCACTCTTTTATTTCACAGATTTACTTGGCAGTTTAATTACATTTGTGATCATTGCTTTATTATGAGATTTTTTTCCTGTTCCCTTTTCTTCTACACCAGCTGTCATTTTGGAGTACATTCTCCCTAAACTTTTCCTTCCTCTTTCAGATATATTTGCCAGTCGATGTCATTCCCTTTTCAAAACTATAATATTGTAGGCTTCTGTAACCAGTTATTCATAATCGCTCAAAGAGATCTGAACACATAGACATCACTTTCTTTATCAGCATCTGTCTCATCTCTAAAGAAGAGTGTAGGAAGTCGTCAAAGAAAAGAAAAATTCATCTTGAGGAATCATTTCCTCAAGATTAGCAGGGAGTCATTGAGTGTTTGCCTCATACACACTGACAAACTAATACCGGATGTCACATGATGTCTGTAACACTAACTGCATAAGAAACAAAAAGTGTTAATTCACCAGAGCGTTGTCTCCTTTAGTAAAAAAAAACAATCACCTGAAAGGTCTGACTATTTGAAGCCCTAAACAACCCCATGTACTTATGCCTCTTGATACGCCATTAAGTGTGAGCAATACACTTCGTTAAAAATCCTCATTCCTCTGGTACTTTCACCCCAGACAGTGAAACCAAAATCAGCAGAACACCTGTATGAACAAAACACAATCAACTTAGCAATCAGTTTTCAGGCAGGCCTTTTCAGCAAACTCCCCTGAAAAAACACAACTTTTAGATTGTGTGTAATCCTCACCAAATCTGACACACGACCAAACTGGAACCTGATCTTTTTTATTTGGTTGTTTTAATTTTGAGACCTAAGGAAAACAATAAAAGTAGAGAGAGATTCAAGCTCATTCAAATGTTCATTTAAGATACTCTGTGCTTTTTTAAATACCATCTCTTCACATTTATCCTGTTTCTTCAGATCAAATTGGGTAAATCTGTTGAATGACCTATTGGTAAACATTTGAGAAAAGGCACAATTTGTAAATGATGGAATTTGTTGAAAATGTTCAAACTTTAGTATTCATCTAAATCACATATTTTCAAAAGAACGATTAGAAGATATATCTGCATAGTAGGCCACATTTGTGGAAACTAGCAACAACACCAAAGCACAGGGAGAGGCAAAGGTTAGAGGGTCTGCTGGACACATTTGTTACTCGTTTTTTGTACAACCTAATATTGTTAAACCTTATGGTGAATTAAAAAAAAAAATCATTGCTCTTAAATTGTGAGCCTAGAATGACTTGCGATGTTCTTTACGTTAACATCAACTCATTTTTGGTAGGTTTGTTGTCAACGTAGACTTTGAAACCTCAGGCATGCTCACCTGGTTTCAGAATCCAAAATTGTTGCGCTTTTATTGAAATAGGACGTAATAGGAAAATGATCTGTATGATCGTCATTACTGAGGATGGTGTGGGAAATTCACGACGTAGCTCGGGGGTCCGTTGATAAAATCGACCCTCACCTGCTCCGGTCTCCATCGAAAGTAGGCGGAGTTTCGCTGGCAGACACGACGGCTCTCCTCAACCTGTGGACCTGTGTGTGAGGACAGCGCGGAGAGGCAGCAGGGAGGGGTAGCCACCGTCACAGCCGCGATACAGGGCTGTGAACTATCTGCAGATTAGCCAAACCACAGGGACATACGTCCCCCTTTACGTCCAGTTAGCTGCTTATTAAATGTAAGGATGTGTGTATGGGGCACTGAGGGAGAAGGGCACGTTTAATGGCATTCGGGGAACCGTCGCGGCGCTCTCTGGGTAGAAGAGGAGACATTACGGCGCGAGTTAGCTAACGTTAGCTCGCTAACAAGGTCAGTTTGGATTCGAAGTTCGGTTTGTCTTGCCGTGAAAGCATCGTTTAAAGATGCCACGGTCTTCGTGTTTTTAAAGTGGGCTTACTGCGGCCATCTTACAGCCGACGGGACATGCTAACCGCAGTTTTTCAGCCGTGCACCTGAGTGCCTTAGCTTGGTAGTTAGCCAGCTTCCGTGGCTCAGTCCAGTGCTTATCCTACTTTAGTGTTCTAAAGTGAGCTGACTCACCATAACCCTGTTTTATGGAAGCTGTTGCCTCAGAGCAAGTGTACGTAAAAAATCTGCTTTAGTAGGGTAGTTTGACCCGGCTACGGGTAGCTATAGTGTTGTAGGAGATGATATTTTTACACGAGCAGCTTGCTCCGACTAGAATAAAACAGGTGCATCTCTGCGCCAGCAATGGACGGATGTAGGATAGCGCTCGATCCAGCCAGTCTCAGAACATGCCTTTTTTGTGTGTGTTTAAACTCCGTTTACAGATTATTTGTTGAGTCTGACTGGTGGATAGATTTTTCCGTATGAGGGCTGCGAGTTTAAATCTTTTTTTTAATCAAGGTTGATCGGCGTGGGCGTCGTTGCCTTTTACTAAGGCCCCGTCCACCGAGTCCCAGTGAAACGGGCCCGGTAGCTTAAATGCTTATTTAGTAAGCTAACGCTAGCTCGAACACACACACGGTCTATGAAACCAGCCGTCGACACTCAACGTTGCTGTTTTTGAAAGATTTAATTTAAGTTTTTCTTCCTGGTGTTTTTGCTCTACCGCATGCTTGGTCGTGAACCGTGTGTGACTATCGTGAGAAAGGTTGCGGTTACTGTAAAGAAACAGTAATTCAGCCTCTGACCCTGAGCACAAACACGTGAAAGTTTTCCGTAACAGCGAGTTAAGTTACGCGCGGTAATACACTCATTGTTTTGATTGTTTTTCATCCATCTGCATTCATATGTTCTCTTTTGTCTCGTTTTGAAACCCGTTTTTGTTTTAGTGTAGTCCCCACAAACTAAAACATATTATTGTTGATCTTATTGTTTGAGGTCTTTTGTAAGGCTTATTCTCCATCACACTTTGGAGCCTGCTTTCTTCCCCTTTAAACTGATGGATCTCTTCATATTAATAGTTTATAGATTTTTTTCTATTTTGGTTTCCAGACAAGTTATTGCTGCTTTGACTCCCAAAGTTGATCTGACTTGAGTGTTATCACTCTTTTGTGCAACTTTGTAATACCTCGGGCAACAAGAAATATTTTCTATAGTGTAACAAAAGCTTTGGCAGAGAAACTCCCTGGCTTAAGGCTCATTTAGTAATCCTTCTTTTAATTTGTGCCTTTCAACATGAAAAGCCTTTTTATTTGACATCATATAAAACTCGTCATATTTGTGGTTGGCAGCCTCATCACCATAAGCTGTTGGAACTGTCAGTTAAGATGAATTAAAGCACACTACACTAAACCTCCTGTACTTTCTAATGACAGCCAGTTTTCTAATAAGAGATTCAGTGTTTTGTTTTTCCCTCTGAATTTGCTCTTTATAGAGCTGTAAATGAAGTGAAATACACAAAATGAGTTGTAGCGTAGCAGCACTGGGATTTGACAGCATTTCGTAGTCTTAGGGCAGCGTAAAACAAGTTGCTTTGAGATCACTGTCCAAGTTAGACTTTCTCCTGGCAAAGGCCAATTTTGTGTTTTTTGTTTTGGATTTATCTCCCCACTTATTGCATTATTTTGTTGAACAGAGTAGAGGGCAACACAAGGGAAACATCCAACTGCAAAGCAAGCTTGTCTTGTGGATATGTTTGTTATTCAGCTCATGCACGATCTAGAGGCTGCTGCATGTGGTACGTCAATTCAATTGGCCCTGAGTGCCACTGTGCATTGGAGGCCTAATTATTTTTGATGGTTTTCAACTTTTAACTACAGTTCAACTGCAGTCTGCATGGATGGTTGTAAAACAGTTGTCCCCCTCAGCAATGCAGGCTTCAGTGTGAAAATTGCCAGAAATGGTGCACACAAAATCTTATATCATTGATAACATTCCATTTCTTAAGAGGAGGACTTTCTAATGGGGAAAGTCACATGTTTGAATTTGAATTAATCCATAAATGTGGGTGCCTTACGGGTCAGCCACATCAACACGTTGCCAAATTTCTAATAATCTTTACAGTTGTGCGCTGCATCAGTACAGCGGTTTAAACTTCACCTAACTGGAACACTTTTCAAACACCAAAACCCAAAGCACTACAAAGGATGTGATGGAAACTAGGGTGTCAGGGTAAAGATAATGTAAAAATTAATAGAAGGAAAGATTTTTTTAAATGACAATAAAACAACTTGAAAGGTAAAAATAGAGACCTGTGGTTTAGGATAAGACATTAAAGCTGCAGAACTGAACTAATGTTACAAACACAGTTCCATTCCCAACTTCCACACCCTCATCTTACCTCAACTTGCAATGTTTGGAAACAGAAGAGTAAATATACATCTAAAGTCACGTCTTCCTTGCTGCAGGTCTTCAAATAATAAATCCTGATTGCAGTTGAGTTTTTTTTAATGTCATGCACGTCCTGTTTAGCGAACGTTGCATTTTAACATTGTTTTGTTGTTCATTTCAGTGACACATTAATACATTTGCAATTAAGCATGTTAAGATCCTTCATGTTGCTTAATGAGATGTTGTTTGACTCAGATTCTGAATCGCTTACGATGGAATGAGAATGTGATAAAATCTAGGCCACCTTGTGGAGGGCTTACTTTGATGTTCAGATGAAGCTCCCCTACTCCCAACCCGACGTGTGTGCCAACAGCCTGAGGTGATGTGTAGTGCATACTCTGAAATGGAGAATACTAATGGGTAAAACCCGTTTTCATGTTGTTTGTTTTTACTTTTAAACAAATCGATGCAGAAATTGTGAGATATTTAGTGTTTTGTTGTGGGGTTTGTATGTTGTCGACATGCATTGAGAATTCTGCTGTTGAGTATTTCTTGCAGCATGTGTCGTAACGGTGTTGCAGATTTTGTTTTTCTTCTTTCGGGGTAGAGGGGGCTGAGAGTCGGAACAGAGCAAGGGAAACGAAAGCATGAACAAACTAAGATGAAATAAAAATCCAAGATGGGGAGCATGCCGCGGTATGGTGAATGGGTTAGGTGAGATGTGACCTCTCTGTTTGAGAGCATTTGTCAAATTCCATTTCAGAGAATGACCTCCTTTGAGCTGAGATGTTTTCTGGCTGTTGTCATAGTACATTTTTGCTGGTCTACCTTAGATAAAGTTGTCTCGGTGTTGGATTTCTCTGCAGTACTGCCGGGAGCATGTTGGGATGTGATTGTTTAGTCATGTTTGTGTTTCAACTGGTAGTCTAGTCACATCATGCCACCTTTTAGTTGGAATTATCACACAATATTCTTGGAACTAGAGAAGGATTTTTGAGCATTCCAGTTTTGTGAAACTACGCTCTTCAGTTTGAGTTTTGTCAAGCACACATCAGCATACATAATGAGAAGCAAATGTCCCCCTGACACGGTTTGTCATCACGAAACCTTTGGTCACAGAAGCGCTTTTTATACCCAAACATTTTTACCCATGAAGTCTGGATGCTGCAGTTGCTGTCCACACATGTACATCAGAGTGGGATGCATTTTGCTGAACATGCAGGAGAAAGGCTGTTTAGAGCACACAGAAGGCAGCAGTGATGCAGAAATGACTGCAGCAGTTGTGTTTTATTTACATCTTGTTGAGAGCAGCAGATGAGGCTCATGATTATATGAGTACAGCATTTATCGGTGCATATTCCACACACCCAGGCCGACTTGCACAGTGGCAGCAAATTCTCAGGAATATTATTGAATATGTTTATTAACTGATGTGCTGGAGATGCAGCTGGAGGACTAGGTTGAATATCCCTGTGAGGAGTCTGGACTTGTGCATCAGCAGCATTTCAGGACTCTAGGGCGGGAAAATAACTCAAGCGCCGCTCATGTAGGGCAGTAATATTTATTATGCAGAAGTAATAGGTTGGATGTCACACTAGGTTTGGCCTCAGTGTATACCCCTTCTATCAATAGTGACTTCTATTATGTGTGAATTTCTGTTTTGTTTGGTAGAAACAAGCCATAAACAAAACAATCAATATAGTTTGATTTGCAATCAATGTTATCTGTTTTTTAGAAGCTTTAGTGTTCTCACTGTTGAATTAGGAGACATCACCTTCTCTACAGGAGGAAAGTTCTTATTATTATACCAATCTCACACACTTCTCAAAAGTCAGATGTGTCATCTGTTGTGAGTCACACAAGGAAACATTCAAAATCATGACTTGTTCAGCACATATGGCTACTTCTTGAATATTAACATAGAAAAAGGAAATGCGAGACAGCAATCTATGGGGTGTAGGGAAAAACATGTAGACCGACTAAAGGGCAGAGCCGGAACCTAATCCTAATTTTATTTTTTTGTGTTGGTTCAATGTCTAATGAGTAAGGCGTGATTTGAATTCTCTGTAAATATATGATATATGGACATATATCAGATTTCATATCAAATATCAGAGTTTAGAAACTTGCATGACCGTTACCTGGGAGTTGATAACAGACTGGAAGTTGAGATGGCCACAAAACCCTTTTTCATATAAGTAAAATGCATTTAAAACGTTGGAATCAACGTTTCTCAACAACAATCCTCATGTACTTTAAAGAGAGTCAACTCCATGTTAAGACTCACAACTGTTACATGTTTTTATTATTTTTCGACAGCTGGAATTATGTTCTAACATTACTAATTTGTGTAAAGCCCACATAGGTCACTCATGCCCATGTGGACGTTTATGCTTGTGCCAGCACTGGCTTGTAGTTTAAATCTCTTAGTGCAACTTTGCAACAGAATTTCTGTTGTTACTTCAAACGACAATGATTTGAAGCTAAGATGAATGGCTATAACGCCAGCTCCATGAGTGGATGGAGGTTTTGCAAATCTCAGACATCAGTTAGACTTATGAAACCTACTGCAATACAAAGAAAGAGGGAAAACGACATAGGAGAAAATGTGAGCCTAGACAAATTGCTGAAGCTTTTAAAAACGAGCATAATGGGGAGCATTCTATGTAAACACATTCTATGTAAACACATTCAAACCACCCACATGGTTGTGACATGGAGGTCATGCTTTTTAAGACCTACAACAAAAGTTAGATGTTGACTCTCTTATTCTAACACCTACCCCAAGAAGCTATTCAGGCAGACTTTAGCTATCCTCTGTTGAGCATGCACACACAGGCTGTAAAAGCTTACTGTTCCTCACACACCTCTTTCTGCCAGCTCACCTCAGTCTCTCACATTCGGCCGACAACAGCAGTGGTCTGTGCACAGAGGCTAACCTTTCCTTTGAGGTATGACTCAAGTGCAGCCCTTTTCGAAACAGACACGGTTTACAGTGATATTCTGCAGTTAGTTATGCTGGAAAAAAGTTGCCATTACTGGCTCTTAAAAAGTTTTTCTAAATGTATTTATTTATTCAATTATTATTATTAAGTACAGACGAATAACCTCCTTGGGTTTTATAAGAGCGTAGAGGCTGGCAAACTATGACAGACTTATGTTAGTCCTTGAGTAGGTTTAAAAATATTGATAAAAAAATAGACTTGCAAAACAATTCAAGATGGACATAGTTTGTGTCACTCGTCATAAGCCAATATGTAAGTAAAAGAAAAGTAGACAGAAGATACACGAATAGCAAAGAAGACTCATGAGGGGAAATTAGCTCTGACTTTTAAGAAAGTAAAAATGACTCATTGACTCTATATTTCATTAGTTATAAAATTTCATGTTGGAACAAAGAAGTGCATATAAATGTCAGAACAGCAGAGGGAATATACCTGATAGTAGTGAGGCTTTTAAACAATGTAGTGTATTAAGACAGGAGCAAAACATTTTAGTAATTGGTAGTCTTAAAATCGAGCAAAAGAGCAAGACAAGGAACTACTGGCTTTGAAACATGTAATTTAATAGTGGACTGAGCATTTGTTTGTGGTTAATTCAGTAATGTGTACCACAAAATATTTTCCTGCATGTAAAAACTACTTTCTGAAAGATGCTGAGCCTCTCTTATAGTAGTTTAATAGTTTTGGCCTATGTTTGGGTATTGTCTGATATTCACTTTCAAGCCATTTTAGTGCCAGGCAGGCATTAGGATTCCAGGCAAATGGCTGACCCTCCTCTGCCCATTTAAGTGCCGCAGGATTGGGGTTGGCTAGGTCAGCACAATGAAGAGTCTAATTCTAACCCTAAGGGCACCTAATTAAAACTTACAAGCAAGACAAACAACCTTTGACCCCTCTGCATCTGAGGAGAAGTTCTATAACCCAAAATGCCAGCACACATAAAAGTCACCAGCATGTATTTTTTTCAGTTGTATTAAGTTGAAAAATACCGTATATGTGAGCAAGTAACCCAAAGTAATGGCTTGCATTTTCAGATCAGAAAACTCAATTCTTACCTAGGCGATATATAAAAATTGTGTTAAGTTTAATAAATTGTTGATAGGCAGCATTGTCCACTTATGAAGTCTTTTCTTCATAAAACTGCACTTTCATGCCGTTGTGTGAATACAAGTTAAATACAATAAGTGTCTCTCTTTCCCTCAAATGATTTCAGCAGTGAGTTATAGTAGAGCATAAAACGTTTATAGTCACTGTGGATCTTTGCTAACTTGGTTGTAAATTACCTAATCATAAAACCCCACAGCACATATTAAGGGATGGTTAATTAAAGATATTATTAATAGTTTGTGAATGGTCAAATGTTTGTTTGCATGAATGTGGTTTTGAGATTTTATGTAGAATATATAGGTGTTATCTTTCCATCATCAGAGCAAAATCATGGTGAAAAAAAATCACTGCTTTATCCCTGCCTGTAACATTGTATTATGTGCCTACTACATGTTGTTTGAATGATCTATCCATTCTGTATATACATCTATGATTACACTTAGATGTTTGTGTCTCACATGTTTTTTTTTTTCTCCTGTTTTTTTCTTTTCAAACATAGCAAGCTGACATGGATGTTTGACAGGCTGGTACTGATCTCTTCATGGATCTCAGTGGACAAGAGAGAGAAACCTCTGCGTTTGTGAGCATAACCAATCATTAGAGAATCTGACCCACAAGCATATCATCAAACTGACTGCAGTGCATGTGGCCTTTTCATTTGTTTATCCACATCTGTTGGGCAGTGCAAAGGCCTATTGCTATGCACTGTGAACAAAGAGACATGAACCGTGGGGATGCAAGGAGGAGCAAGCTTCTTTCGTGCTGGATTCTCCCTCTGGTACTGGGGCTTCTGTTGACCCTAGCCCAGGAAGCTGTGCCAGAGCAGCACGAGACGCTGGTGGACATGATATCCGTGGAACTAGAGGCTTCTATGCAATCCTCTGTGCTCTCTGAGCTCCAAGCTGCAGTGTCGTCAGTAAGTGAAGGGCCGCCTACAACTGTCCCAGATTCTTCTGCAAAGAATGGGGGAGTGCACAACAACATCCCTGACTCCTCGGCAATCGTGGGCCAGGTGTTTCAGTTGAAGGTTCCACCAGGACCAGTCTATGGAGGCTGCAATGTCCAAGTAAGTTTAAAAAAGAAAAGTGAAATGAAAACAAATATGTGATGAACAGATCAATTTGATGTTGATCTCAAATGATCCAGTTGACTGAAAGTACAACAAATCAGATATTATTTTAGTTCTGGCTGAAGGATAATCTTAAACATTAGAATGTGTTTAATAATTTTTCTTGAAAAAACACCTTGTTTTAGTTGAAAGTGACCTCCTGGAGATGTTTTCAGTTGTTTGAATACAACAGTGAAAGTCCATTTATTTGCTATTTTCTGTTACCACTGTCACTATCAGTTAACAAGTAGTCTAGATGCTTAATCCATTAAGTGGGGTATCATGTGGCATATTGTGTGGTATTGTAACTCTAATTTTTAATTACTGAATAATTACTGATTAAAGCTGACTGTGTTGTAGTCATATTTAAAAGTGAAATCAGATTATTACGGACCCATCTGTTAATACAGCACGATATCCTGTCATAGAGTAATAACTCAAAATAATGAGTGATGACTCATACAGCTATGATGAATTGAAGCTCACTCTCGTTCATATTTAGCAGAATCTGATCATGTGAATTGAAGAAGTGGGTGTTTGGGACGTAAGAGTTGCTACTAATTTAAGTTTAATTATTTTAGCTAGTGTGGATATCCTCTACTGGGAGCCCGAATTAAACATAAGGTTATATGGAAATTATTTTATGATGATGATGACTTATTCACGTAAACAAGAATGAAAAAGTCAAATTAACCATATTTTTATCATAAATTGTCCACCATCATTATGGTTTTCAGTAACTTGCCTTTTCCTAATGCACTTTTTCAGATATTTCTACATTGTACGATCTGGTAATAATGGTTTTCTCTTTTCTCCTGAAGCTCACTGAGATAGGAAAAAAGACTCTACCCTCCTGGTTATACTGGGACAAAGAAACCTGCACTCTGAAAGGCCTGGCTCTGGAGCAAGATAAAGGTGTATATCATATATTGGTGTCAGGAGAGGAGATAACAAAGAAGACAAGCAACCAAGGGTATCCCAATACAGTCTTTTCTATTGAAGTATACCCAGAAGAGCGGGCAGATACTGAACCAGCCCTTCTCACTCTCCAGTCTGATAACAGTGGTCTACAACCCTTCACTTGTGGCTCTGAGGAGCTTGTCACCGTCCTAACTGTCATATTAGATGCTGACTTGACAAAAATGGTTGCAGAGCAGAGGGTCAATTTACTTGGCATTATGAGCAAATTCTCACACGTGCCGTTGGAGCACATGAGGGTCGTCCCTGTTGTCAACAACCGCTTATTTGACATGTCTGCTTTCATGGCTGGACCAGGAAATGCAAAGAAAGTGGTGGAGAACGGGGCTCTGCTGTCATGGAAAGTTGGATGTGCCCTTGATCAAAGCACTGTCCCTGACATTAGCAGTGTCCAGTCCTCTGCAAAGGACGGGACGATGTCAGCCAGATTGGGTTTCCCAGTGGTTGGCTGGCATATTGTCAACAAAAAGCCCCATGGGGTGAAACGGGTCAAGCGGCAGTTATATAATACTCCAACTCCTTTCCCATCCATTCTACCTCCAACAGTTCATCAAGAGCCCTTCTCACGTGTTGTTCCTACTCCAACTTCACCCTCCATTGCCCCAGCAACAGACAACTCTGCTCCTCCTGTCAGAGGGCCTTTGCCTCTTCCAGTAAAACCTACAATGAGGTTCAGAGATCAGATAGCCCACACTCCTGTTTTTGGACCCCCCCAACCCACAAGAGTACTAGGTACAACTAGCACCATCCCAGTTCAGCCAACAATGACACGGCCAACTTTTGTGGAGGCCACCGCTTTACCAACTCAACCAAGTACCACCAAGAAACCCAAACCTTCTTCCACAAGGAAACCCAAGAAGCCCCGAACCACCACCCCAGCTCCTCGAGAGCCAAAGTCCACCACTGCAAAGCCACCCAAGCGTACAACCCCCCTCTCTCTGTCTCCTGATTCAAATCAGAACCCAGAGATCCGAAACCCCATTGACCAGGTGACTGCTTGGGTCGGCACATATTTTGAGGTTAAAATTGCTTCAGACGCATTCTATGACCATGAAGATGGAACCACTGACAAATTACGTTTGACTTTGAAGAGGACGCCAAAAGAAACAGTAAATGAAACCTCATGGATTCAGTTCAATAGCACCATCCAGCTTTTGTATGGTTTTCCAGAGGACAAGCATGAGGGGGGCCATGAGTACTTCATGTTGGCCACTGATAAGGGTGGGAAGAGCATAATGGATGCATTTGAGGTTCGAGTCAACCGCTGGTCTAACAATGACAAACCATCAGTTGTGTTTGCTGCTCGTTTTCACGGTGACCCTAAAAGTTTGAGCAACGATGTCCATAAGAAGATTCTCTTAGCCAAAAAGTTGGCTTATGCCTTTGGTGATCGAAACAGCAGCTCTGTGACCCTAAGGAGCATCACTAAAGGCTCCATAGTTGTTGAATGGACTAATAGCAGTCTCCAGCAGAACCCCTGTCCTAAGGATCAGATCACAATCCTAAGTAACAAGATCGCAGATCCCCAAGGAACACCTAAGCTGGCCTTCATCAAAGCCATGGAGCCCGAGTTCAAACCCATTAATATTTCTGTCCGTGGCACCAATAAATGTCAGAGATACACATTCATCCCGCCAGGAGAGATTCCAGTTCCTGTTCTTCCCACAGCTATACCTTCCCCCGGGACAGGTCAGAGGAGCAGTGATGATGTTTACCTGCACACCGTCATTCCCGCAGTAGTGGTAGCAGCTCTGTTGCTAATAGCTGGGATCATTGCAATGGTCTGTTATCGCAAGAAGCGCAAAGGGAAAATGACGATAGAGGAACAGGCTACTTTCATAAAGAAGGGTGTTCCCATTATATTTGCGGATGAGCTGGATGATTCCAAGTCCCCTCCATCCTCCAGCATCCCTCTTATCCTTCAGGAAGAAAAGCCCCCTCTTCCTCCTCCAGAGTACCCCAACATGGCCGGCCCCCACAGCACCCTGCTCAACCAGGATTTGCTGGAGGAATATTCGGTTTATCAAGATGATGATCCAAATGCTCCACCTTATCAGCCCCCACCACCATTTACTGTTCCCGTTGAGGGCAAAGGCTCACGCCCCAAGAACATGACAGCATACAGGTCTCCACCTCCATACGTGCCTCCCTAACACACGCTGAAGCTTTGGGTTTGTAAAGCAGGTGCACTGTAGGGATACTTCTCGAAAACGTCTACAGGAGTAATTTCACTTGTTCAACGAAATGGCTTTGACTTTGTAGAGGAGCAGGCAACCATATATCTTACCATCATCGTGGATAAGACAATTTCATGTACAATTCACCAACCGTCAAAGGACAACTGGATGGAAAACGATTTATAATTCCAGCACTTCCTTCTTTTCCTGTCCTTCTGATCTGCTTTTGACTTCTTGCTTTTTTTTTTGTCTGTTTTTGCCAAGAGGAGTCAATTTTATCTTCAATGATGTACTATTTCTATTGTATAGAAAATAATAAAGAAGCTGAAAAGACTGAAGTCCACAGGGCCTTTGTGCGGATGTCACCATGACGACAGACTTGAGACTCTCCCTCACACTGTTAATCTTTGAGTTCTAAATCATTCCCATCTGCCCTTCAGCTAGGTTTACTAAGATTTTGCACTTGTTGTTTCTAGAGGGGATGAAATACAAAATTGCAAACTGAGGCATGAAATATTTTATCTACAGAGAAATCACTTTATTACGCGTTAATGTTTCCTCTTTTCTTTGTTCCCTCTTGACAATAACATGCAAACTTTGCCCTTGTGCAAATTCTTGATAAACCTTGGGCTATGTGTATTGCGCCGAAAGGAAATAATTAAGAGACAGACCAATTAGAAGGTTAAGTGTTTTGTATCATTGTACTCACCATATGACAATTTGTCTGGTACTTGATCATAAAGGATATTCTAATCATGCCTGTTGTAGATGTAGCCTTATTAGGATTTTCTTTTTTTTTTTTTAATAATTTGCTTTTATGTGCCACTTAAGCTGCCTGTGAGATGACTGGGTTTGCTGTTGCCAAGGTGATGCCTGTGGTCACACAGCAGACCTTTTAGGGTTGCTATAACAGTAACAAAGGGGCCATAGGAATGCTGTTGTTAACAGGAGGCTGAAAATTTGTCGAAGTGATTCCACTGTCTTTTTTTTTTTTGTTTTGCTTTTATTTGAGGGGGTTGGGTGGGCATAGCACACTGTGTCTGCCTCGAGGTGTTGCACTACTAGGATTAGTGCACTGCCTGTTGTCAGTTCAAAAGAGGCATGGGGGACAAGCTGATGTATATAATTGTGTGCCTGTTGGGGGGGGAAAAAGAGCTCCATAATGTTAATGTTTTATCACTAAATCTAGTTGGGTAATGGGTGGCTTGAATGAGAAATTATTTTTTATTTTTATGTCAAGATTTAAGATCATAATCTCACACACATACACTCACAGACGTGTGTGTATATATGTATGTTTGTGAGTTTGAGGGTAGAAAAGATTGTTTACTCGACCATCACAGAAAATAAAGCATTATCTTATCTCTAATGTGAAGGGGAACAAAGAAACTCAAACAGTATGTGAATTATGTACATTTCATATCTGATATCACCTTAAGAAAAATGGTTGAAAAAAATCTAATGTTTTTACTGAGTTTTTGATACAAGTCTTAAACCTGTTTTATGAAAATATATTAATAAAATGTATTACTATTTGTAAAGCCTCAGATTGTGTATCGTCCCTTTTTATTCAAGTAAATGTAAAGGAATAATAAACCCCTTGTCAATGCAGGTCAGGGAAGTGATAAAAAACACAAGCCTGCGCGTGTGCAAAAAACTGGAAAGCAATAAACAGGAAATTGTACCCTGTTGTTCCACAGGAGTAATGTCTCCATCACCAGTCAGAACCAAATATGCAGTCTCCGAGACAGAGTTCAACCAAATGATTCATGACTTTGCTTCTAAATTTATTTTGCCATCCATTTAATGAAATTCAGTAGACTGTATTGAGGGGCAGTCTTGTAGTTGGTTGTCATATTTAGTCTGCGACAATTGGCTGTAATGGCTGGCTGGGTTTGTCGGCAACATGAGAACAGCAATGCTCAACAACCAGCTGCTGTCAGGCTGATATTTTAGAGGAGTGCTCTCTTTTTGTGGAATTTAGGGGTAGTTATTTCCTTTGGCCCCATGCTCTGACATCCCTTTTAAAAACACCAGTCTGCCCTAAAACTACTTTACTATAGAATGTATTTTTAAGAGGTTTTTTTGCTTGGGTACTATCCTAACACAGCAAAAATGTATTCTGAAATATACTTTAAAGGATTTTCTTTAAATTTCTAGGAGAACCCATATCATTCAGGTGGTTCCAAACATGAAGTCCTACACTGTTAGTTGATAGATGGCTTCATTAAATGCATCAATTTCCTTTGTATTCCTTAACTTGGTCTAAAGTTTATGGCTTGCTTGCTTTAATTAATGAGAGATGACTATATCAGAATGAACAAATGAAGCAGACGGTTCTTAATGGTGTTCAAATCATTTAATTTCAGATTGATCTGTGGACTGTAAAGATAGAATAATCCCATCCCTGACTGCATAATTTCTAACAAGATCATAGAGATTTACAAACCAAAGTTTTTTTCTACATTGGAAAATCCCAAAAACTTCAGGTCTCCTAAAAAGTTTTTTTAACTACAGTATACAGCCTGCAATTAGGTAACTTTTAACGATCACCTTCACACCTTTAATTAATAAATCCAAACAATTCTCGCTGACTTTATGCAAATTACAGGGCGGTCATGTTTCCAATAAATCCTGAATTGCTAAACACCCACGTACCCGCCAGAAAAAAGGCTTTTGTCTCAGCTTCCAAGAAAACTTAAATGATAGCTTAGATAAACATTTACTTCATAAGTCATAATTAAATATGGATTCATCCGAAGTGTATTTAACTTCAGTCTGGCTCTGTGAAAGAATTTCAGCATCTGTTGGTGTATGTGTTCATAAAATAAAATAATGCACAGCAAAGTTTGACTGAAACAGACCAGAGCACATCCACGGCATTCAGAGATTTACCTTCTGTTAAAACTTTCCATGAGGGATCAAAGAACTGAAGCAGTAGTTTTGAACTTTTGAGTGTTTAACTGGTTAAAAAAGAAAATCCATTATGGGGGCTGGTGTGAAAGGTATCAAAATGTGGTGTGGAGGCTATTTCATGACCTGTGAATCTTCCCCTTAACAACCCCCTTTCCCTCATTAATAATGTACGGGGAATGAAATGTATTGTATGTAATGAAAAATGTATAAGCTCATGAAAACCTGTGAGAAGAGCTGACCTTTCAGTTGCTGATGTTTGATGCACATCGCTGGATAACCCACTGCTGTCGTGGCTTTGCAGCTATGCACACAAACCAACAGCCTAATTGATCTCTTTTTCATTTTTGAAGTAAGATCAAACGAGACAAAGCACAGATCAATGCTGATGCTTTACGTTCCGATTTCAGCGTCTCCTGTTTATGCAAAACCTGTTGTTTTTTATGTTGACAGAGCAAAATAATCCAAAAATATGCACCCAGCTCTGCTAGAACAAAGTCGTACAGCGCAGTATTAGTGACACCGGCTCCATTTGTGATCAGACAAAAACACACTCTCAACAATCAATTATACCGTGGATCCCAGTGTTTGGGGGAGAATGTGATTAGCTGATCAGTAACAGAACCAAGGAGAGAAAAGGTAACAATATGTTTGCATAACTTTACATTACATTAGACTATATATCATTATAAATGTATAAATCAGCAGAATGATTTGTTGAAGAAAAAACCCACTGAATGAGACATCTGTAAAATGAGCAGGACACCAAATATCACACAGAACATCCCCATTAACCACCTTTAGAAAAAGGAAACTTGTGAAATCTGCTGGCAAAGTGCTTTTCAACTAAGTTAACAGCAATAATAAAACAATTCTTGGTAGTGTTTCAGTATCAGATATGTAGCTCATCAGTGACAAACAGCGGGATGAGCTTTAGTTTTTACTGAGCACAGCATTCTAATATGCTAATATTAATGAGTTATGAATGATTATTATCATGATTATTAATGATCACTTTTATTTGAAGGCAGCTTTGCAATCTTCACATTTGAGTGCTGTTCTATTGTTTAGTTTTCACAGATAAAACAGAAAAGGTGGAGGGTATCTACGTATGCATCAGAGCTGGGGTGATGGTACAGGAACTGCTTTGTCCTTTTTGTCTGTGTGAAGGCACGGAAATTATCCTCATGAAGGCAAATCCTCATCACGGGGGAGCTGCAGCTCCCTGCTCCATCCGCAATGTCTACAGCGCCACCTTGTGAAAGAACGAGGTAAGTCAGTTTAAGGGCCTCGCTACTGGCACGGGGAGCTTTCTTGACAGGTCGTCTGCTCACATCAAACCTGTCAGTAGGGCTTCAGCCGACCGCGCAATCTGAGAGAGGATATTGAGAAGCAGAGCTTTGAGGTTATGGAGAAAAGCATTTATTCAGAAACGGTTCATGACAGTTAAATCACTTTGGAAAAGATATGTCAATATCTTTTCTTGAGATTATATCTTTTGATAAAATAAAAAAAAATAATCTAGCCACAGGAGAAAATAGTTGAACTGCAATTATTCCTTATCAGATTGCACTTCACAGGAAGCAATATCCCTGTATGATATATTTTAGCTCTTGTCAGTGGGTGACCTTTTTGGAAAGGTCCCAGAACATACCATGTTTCATCCAAGGTGTCACACCATCCCTGTCAATTATTGTCCCACGCAGCAGATCCCCCTTCATAATAAGCATTTAGCTGGAAACTGCTCTGTCAATTTAGGTTGCTCAGATTTCAGGAATGTGGAGGATGTGTAGTGCTAAACACCTCCCCAGACAACAGCGTGGTCAGTGAGAATGCGGTGAAAGAGTATGGAACAGAAAGGATTTTCTCCTAAAACATTATACACATCCGTGTATAAAGTCGCTATGGTTACAATATTTATGACATCAGCTCTCAAGGTTTTTACTCCATTGTTTTGACAAAACATCAAGCCATGGAGGTAGAGAGGGTTTGAGCACATTTAGTATTTTGTTGTATAATGTATCAGAGGTCATGATGTTTAACTAAGTAACAAGACATCTGACAACAATCAACACAAATACTTCATCTTCAGTCACTCTATTACACAGATTTACCTGAAAGAAAAGTAAAGGAAGAAAAAATACTATGGTCATTTTGATGATTTCTAAGTGTTTTTTTCTCTCCTGTGTTTCAATGACTCATGAGAACAATATGCAGGATTTGATCATGAATAGAGCAAAGTAGCAGACTGAGTATGTTTGAACACACTCTTCCTCACACTCTCCCAACAACTTTCTCTTACACTATTAAAGGAAAAAATAAGTTCCTTTTGTACCGATCATGTATTAGAGGGGAAAGAACTGTGCCAGTCTTGCTTGAATGGTATCTGACATTTCTTTTTTTGTGCTCCATTGGTATCACTTTTACAAAAAAGGAGAAAAGTTTTTAGAGGTTTTGGGTTTTCTCAGGGCTTATTTGACTGTGATAAAAAAAAAGAAATGAAAATAACAGAAATACAGAAAATGTCTTTCCAAGCAAAACTGAAGATGAAAGCAGATGATTTATTAAAGACTTGGTAATAATGTTTATGTGACGCTGGCCCCCAGACATTGTGCTGTAGAGTAAGAAGCTGTCACTGCGCGACTGTTTGTAAATATTCTCAACATTACCCACCGAGATGTCAGATGTCAAAAGGTTATTCCTGATGGGGGTCCGTATTCTTTGAAACACAATCTGCAATGGGAACTGTCTCCTTTATTGTTCAGTGGTTTTCGTGATGCTGCCATCATAATGGACACCAGACGTTCAGCCATTAACGTGAGCAAGTGCACTGGCTGTTGCTGTTATATAGTAACTGTCTCTGCTGCTGCTCCATTGTCTCCAAAGGATTGATAGTGAAAACCTGTTTCTAACTCCTGCCTCTGACCATCTGCTCTCTTGACTATCTGTCTGCTGCTCACAGTATATAACCATGATTTGACTTGCTATTTTCTGAATAGTACAACACATCAAAAGAGAGGAAGGGGCCAAGAGTTACGTCATTTGTGATGTGATCGATTGGCCTTCTGAGATCCGAACATCACGTCCTTATGAGCGCTCTGATTCTTCTCTCTTTTGATTTTAAGCTTCACAAACACTTACACTCACTCACACACAGATGAACACACATTCCCTTCAGTAAAAGCCGTAAAACCCATCACGTAAGATGTTCCATACTTCTGCTGCTGATGCGTGAATCAGAAGTCAAACTTTCCTTTTTGACAAAGCTTAGAGCTGTTGTTAGCTCAGGGACCTTGAGATCCCTTTATTTATGCTGCTTTAAGCCTGAACCTCTCTTGACTGCGCTTTCATTACTTTCCAGGTACAGTATGCATATGTCATTTTCCCAACTCTTTTTTGTCCTTTGAGTGTCTCCTAGCCTAGTTACCATGTCATCTCCTCACAGCCTTTCCTCATTCTAGTTATCCTGGACGTTTTTTTTTTTAAAGGCCATTCCTCCTGTCCACTGCATACACAGGATTAAAGGGTAGATTTGACAGATTCTCTCGGTTTATTCAGACCGACTTTTGATTCGAAGTTTGGCTTTCTGTAAATGGGGAGTAGGCCTGTGGTTAGGACTAGAAGCCAAGCAGA